GGTGCAGTCTACGACTATCGGCGACACTCTGGCACCTGGCGAACCAGTGCCACCTGGTATGGAGGATCAAATCACGCGGATCACATCGATACAGATGAGCTTGGATCGGCATCAGAGCTCGCCGCTCGTCGGTCTCGAGTATCTGCTGGAGTTGGTGGACAACGATTCGTGCGAACCGAGTTACACGTGTGTTTTGTGCGATAAACGCGGTGATCCACGTACAGTAATGGCCCACATTACTAGTTACAATCACCGAATCACATACCTCAATAGACACTTCCCCACCATATCGCGAGCGATAACGGAGTTACCGCGTACCCCTAATTATAAGCGCGGGGCCAATGAAATATCGGTGTTAGTGGCCAAGAAGATCGAAGAGAAGTTTGGAAGAATGAAACCGCAATTGGTCGACAAGATTCAATTCGAAAAGAATAAAATGGTATATATCAAGAGGGTTTATCAGGACGTTCATTTTAGGTAAGTCCGAGCATTAGACCAATATTATTAATAATGTTTGTCAAAATCTATTTTCTCGGTTTTTAACTTATGTTCAATACTACGATATTTTAAAGTTACGAACATGACATTTCCGAGGTTTCCCTTTAATAATAAGTCTTTGATTATTCACTTGACATTATTATATAAAAATCAATGTAGCTGTTTCCTGTATATAGGGAAACGCCAGAGTGTACGTTTATGGAAGTTTATGATGTGCGATGGGTGACAAATTTTGATGAAAAAATGGCAGAAATAAATGGTAATAATGTTAGAAAGAAAGGTGAGTATAACATGAATATACATTTTATATACTTATACTATATACTTGTATATAAGATAAGTGTGTATTGCGGATAAAACTATTATAAAATGCATTTTTAAAATCACTGATTTCTATCAAGATTCCAATATTGCCGATGAGAAGATCGATGACAAATGTAAAAAAGAAGATAAAAAAAAGGAAAAATCGCCTAAAAAATTAGATACAAAAGGAGAAACTTCAAAATCGTAAGTAAACATGACGGTAAAACCATAAATACGATTAACTATGAAAAAATAAGCATAATATCTGCAAATTTTAAGATATGATATTTTAACATACTAATCTCTCTGAACAGAATATAAAATTTTTTTTATTTGAGTAATAGTTGAGTCTATCAATCAGATTTTTTGATTGTTCGTACTTTTTCTTAGATAATGTTTATATAACCTTCAAGAAAATGATAGCATACTTTTTACTTTGTCGTTATCCTTTGCTACAACTGTTCTTCTTGATAACTCTAAATTTAAAATGTATCCTTTTTTAGGGGTTTCAAAATGCGTATATTTAACAAGGACAAAATGAGTCTTCGTAAACCTTCACCGAAACCCGAAGAGACCGTAAAAAAGTCACCTAAACGTCCCTCAGACGATACCAAATCGCTGTCGTCACTTTCGAGTATATCTAGCAGTCCGTCTCCGTCTCGTTCAAGATCTCGTTCACCGAGTCGAAGTAGGAAAAGAAGCTCCGTCGAGAGAAGTGCCGGAAGATATCGTAGCGGGTCACGATACTCGCGCGAACGTACCCGCGGTCGATCACGATCACGATCGCGCTCGTTGCAACCTCTCAGGGAACGCGATAAGTGGGACAAATACCGCGAACAAATTAGACGCGCCGAGGAAACACTTGATCGTGCTCTGAAGTTCCACGAGAAGAATCCCGAGAAACATCCGTCTTATCCGGACGAGTGGAAGAAATTCTGGAACAGGCGATACAAGGAGCTCCAGGCTGAGGGTAACGATCCGAGCAAGCATGACTTCAAGCCAGAATGGATCGAGTTTTGGAATAAGAGGATGCGCGAGATTCATAACGAGCAACTTCAGCAACGAAAAGAGGAGATTAGAAAGAGATTGGAATTGCCCGAGGATAAACCGCCGGAGAAATGGATACCGCCGAGACGAGAGCGAGAGCGAGAGCGTTCTCCCGTAAAGCGCAGCAGGCATCGCATAGAGAGCGACGACGAAGTGGAATACGTTGGAACGAAAATGATCAAGCCCGAGTATTATGATCGCCACGAGCGAGAATATATGTATTCTGCGTACACGCGCGGAAGGGGAAGCGTGTACAGCCATAGTTATCCGCGAACGGCATCCCGTTCCAGACCAATATATTACGCGACGCCGTATCCCGTGAAGGAAAAATCGCCCACTCCGCCTGTCGCGGACGAAAGCTTGACAGAGGATTTCGAAGTAGTTAGTCTTTTACGGTTGCTTACAGCACTCGAGGGACAGCTTGGTTCTCTCGGTCCTAAGATAGTGTCGCTTCTGTCGAAAGCCTTAGCAGCCGAGAAGGCCAAACCGAATTCCGCCGAGGAACTATTGTACGACGAGGAAGTAAGCGTTCTGTTTGAAACCGTTAAAGAGAAGCTCAAGGGCCAGCTATTCGCGGGCATGGTAGAGAAGATGGCGATTACGGCTACTAAAACTGCTATACAGAACATCGCCAAGCTACTGCACAGAGCCTCCGAGGGTAAAAAGAAACTTGAAGAGGAAAAGAAGAAAAACAAGGAACGAGAGCTTCTGGAATCATCTAAACCCGCGCCAAGTTACGTTAACAGGACTGCTTACACAAGACCGGTAGAGATTCTTACACCGTCCATTAAATCCGAACCGGTGAGCGTACCGGGTATCGGTACGATCGACAAAGTTGCTATCGCTCGGCAGATCGCCGCGGCTCTCGTCGCGCAAGGTAGAACAAATGTTTCTCAGGAAGAACTGGAGACTCTTATTAATGCCGTAGTCGGCATGGCTGAGGCATCGAAGCATTCCGATAAACCCGTGACCACTGCTGACTTTGTTAGAGGTCTGACGAGCAATTCCGGCAATGTCGGGGCTGCTTCTCAAGTAACGGAACCTGCAAAAACTGTCATTACTGCGTCAAACGATTCCACGGAATGGCAGGCTTCGAAAATGGAGGACCTGTCGGACATGGATCTGAAAGTAAAGTTGCAAAACTTTAAGGATCTAAACACGCAGGAGCAACACAGTCTTATCAATTTTCTGAAGAAGCTCGAAGCGAGCGATCCGATTAGGGTGGAGAAATTACGAAATTTTGTCAATCTTGGCGTAATATCGGGCAGTACGAAATCACCGACTCCGGAGATCGAAGCCACGATTGGCAGAAGCAGGAAGAGCATCTCTCCGTTTTCCACTCGAAAGGGGAATCAAAATCCAACCGATGACGACGACAAATGGAAACCTAAGGTGGACATGTTCGCGAACGACGAGGACGAGGAGCAGCAAACGAAAAAGGATAACGATCAAGACAAAATGAAAACGAAGATAGACCTGTCTGATGACGATGACGACTATACGTACGAAGATATCTATAAAGCGGCGAATAAGAATGTGAGCGAAAATGAGAAGGCCAAGAAATCCCGCGCTTTCTCCAAATCGCCGAAGTCGTGGTCGCGTTCGCTATCGAGATCGAGGTCGAGATCCAGATCGCGATCACCGGTGCCGAGGCAAAAGGAGATCACGAAGACGAGCGATCCGAACGCGATACTGAACGAGACGAAACGTCTGATCGCGAATATTATGTGCGATCTGCCCAACAAATACGTTCCCAAATTGCATACGAATCTAGCTAGCGATACAATCGAGCCGATAGCGAATCCCGTCGAGCAGATACCATCAACCGGAAACTTCTACAATCAAAGTTTCCTTCCAAATAATCAGCCGCGACCGCAGGGACAACCGTTGACGGCCTATCCCAACGTGTCCAATCAGCAGTTCGCGAACTATCAGCAGCCGCAACAGATGTTTCCCAATAATTCGGGTTATGTAGACGACGGTTATAATTATCAAGGTTATGGCAATATGGGTAATCAAGGCCAATACGGTGGACCGTCGATATCGTCGAATCAGTATCCTCAACAGCCCTACGGCTCTTACGTCGCGCCGCCGCAAACCGCGCATCCACCTAGCTACGTTCAGCAATCGCAGTCGCAGCAATACGACGCTTATATGCAGCAACCGCGATTCTACTGAATCAAATATATATCATCCACTTCGACGCATTTTTACCGAATATTTGCATTATGACGCGTCGAGATCTATGGTGAACTCCAACGACGTTCCAGGTCTCGTTCTCTCTCTCTCTCTCTCTCTCTCTCTCTCTTTTTATACATATAGTTGTACGACTGTCTGTGCAAGTTTACTCGCGAATGTATCTTTAACGAAATGAATTAGATCCTACTTCGAGATTAAGCAGCGATAACATTTTTCTTTTTTTCCGCGCGAACGTTTTCATATAATACGATTTATACGAAATTATACTTGAAAACATTTTTTATGTGTATCCAAGTGTTTCTTGTCCGCGCGTAATCTCTTTGTCCGCACTTTATCTTGATAAAATATGTCCATATATTTTGAAATGCGCATAAAATTGTTATATATTGTTATATATTTGCAAATGAGATAGAGCCTCGTTTCGGTGTATGACGAGTATATGGGAGAGCGCGCGCTAAATATAGTCATTAAATATGCAATGTTACGAGATCTTTTTGTACGTTCATACATCGAGCAAAGTTCGCCTCTAAATGCGAGCCTTTATGTATCCTTCATATATGTGCGCGGGTGTGTGCACAGTGATATGTCTCCATGTTACGTTGCCTTCGAGTGAGTTGTACTATATGCACGAAGCAAACGTGTGCCGTTGTTATGTACACGCGACTTTGACCAGAAACAAAAGTAAGTAAAATAAATAAAACAATCTATCCGCGTACTACACATTGTATGTGTATGTCGCGTTTAGTTTTTATCGATATAAAAAAATCAATCTCTTATGTATTTGTAATATACTTGATAAGATAAATAATTATCGCCCCGCGCTTTTGTGTGTATTGTATAGAAACCACGACGACAAAACTTGATTCGCGATAATTGTTTAAAAGTCGTTTTAGGTTGCCTCTAAAAAAAAAGGGAAAAAAATATGTCGCAGATGATATTCAAAATATTTGACGTTTACGGAATAAAATGTAATTCTTTAATAAATATAACACAAGAGTATCACATTTGTAACATACTTCCTCTACTCGAAAATATATATTCGTGTTCTTGTAAAGACGAATAATATCCCATAATCGCATCATAAAATAATAAAATGAACGAAACAGATGTAAATAAAGAATCTTACATCGCCAAATATCTATATCGTTCGTTTCAAGATAATTCTTACACAATGCAGAGAGAGATCAAAGAAGAGAGATTTCAGTTGAAGATCTATCTTATATTGTATTATTGTTACACATTATACGCTCGATATACGTATGTTTACGCATTGCACAATGACTAGAGAATTGTAAAGACACATTCTGTTCCTTGTCCATCGTACTTCGAGGTCACATATCGCGAGAAATTAAATAAAGCACACAAGAGATGCGATTCATACAATATGTACATACGTTTCTCTTTACGAACAAAAATAAGAAAAGAAGCGCGTGTACGCGCGCACGGGGTCTTCCCATTTACTTCGGTACGAGGCCTCTCGTTTTGGGGTAAACCGGCGCCGGAATCTGTTGCATCTTGGTAACGCTCTTCGGCCTGACTCGCGCCGACTGCAAGCGCGTCTTGGTTCTCAGCTTTGTGTTCGACGCGTCAACGTCTATGTCGCCCTCGTCGCGCAGAGCCTCCTCGAGAACTGCTTGAATCGTCGGCGCTATCGCGGGTCCTTGATAATCCAATGTCGTTCGCGCCGGCATGTCAAGGTCCAAGTTGAGAATATTCTCGCCCGCGTAACGACATCCACGTCCCATCGCGAGAGCGATCCGCGCGTATTCCGAGACGGGTCTGCGCGCACTCGGTACGGAAGTAGGTCGCTTGATAATGTCTATGCTTGATGGTTCAGGATCCTTCATCACCCAGCAGTCCTCCTCCTCGTCCAAGTGGATTCTGGATAGAATCTTGGTCTTCTCCTCCTCGGGGATAAAATTCTCGATTATGAGATATTTGAGCTTGAGCTCCTTCATCAGTTCGTGTTGCTCCTGCTCCAAGTCCCGTCTATCTCGGTTATAGTCGCTGGTCACGTCCTCCAGTTCTTGTTTCAGGGCCTGCAGTTTGGTGAAGCACTTGCGCAACTTTCTAGACTTGACGTCCACCTCCTGCTGCAATGTGGTGTACGTCTCTCTCACGCCAACCATCGTCAACTCTTCATCTTCCAGCTTCTGCTGCATCTCGACCTCTCGCCTCTTGCGTTCCGCGATCTCGGCCGCCTTTTGCTCTAGTGCTCTTTGCTGCTCGTTTGTGTGATCGATTATGTTTTTGCCGCCACAAAGCATCTTGCTCTCCAGGTCTTTTATTCTCTGAACGAGATTCTCGGTCTCCTGCTTCTCAGCCTTCAACTGTTCCGCTATGAATTTCTTGTCAGTTTCGGCCACCTTATTGTCTTCACCGCGACTATTATCGTCCGCCTCGGAGTCCGAATCTATTGCATCGTCCTCCTTCTTTCTCTTCGACTTCTTCTTCTTTCGTTGCGTTACACCCTTCTGCGCGAGTTTCTCCTTCAATCGACCTATCTCTTCCTGATATTGCCTCAGTAAAGCGTCCTTTGGATCTTCGTTTATTCTAGGCTTGTTCTTAATGTTCTTAGCACGGCTGGCGTATCGCAAAGTCGTCAGAGTCTCATCATAGTTGTAGCTGGCCGGGCCAATGTTCGCGACCATAATTGTCTTCGAGTTACCACCTAACGAATCCTGCAGTAATCTTGTAAGTTTAGAGTCTCGATACGGCACGTGCGTCGTTTTACCATCCACTAGGGCCGAGATCACGTTACCCAAAGCCGACAAACTCAGATTGATCTTACTCGCCTCCTTTAACCTCTCCCCTGAGGAGCCAGTTTTGCTCTGTCTCTCGCTGCCCGCGAGATCAACCAGATTTAAGCGTCCAACTCTGATGCCGCCGCAGTCACCGATGCTGCCCATTTCGATCGTGATGAGGAAAATCGCGTGCGACCGCGAACTGTGCTCATTCATATTCGTCGCGCCGATCGTTCTGTTCTGATTACCCATGTTCATCAGATGCTGTATCTCCGCCGCACTCTTGCAGACGGCGGTTGACAGATCCTTAACGTACACCCCGACGTCTGGTTTCTCTTTCAGCTCGAAGCGCAAACTCTGATCCGGATGCAGCAGATCGCGTATCTCCTCCTGATAGATCTCCAGATAGCTGGCCCTCACCAGATACTGCATGTTCTCGGATCGGCCGATGTGATTAAATATATGCTCGAAGGAGCGCGGGATGACGCCGCGCCTCTCGTGATCCATCTTCGAGCCCTCCATCGTATACGTCTTGCCGGTGCCGGTTTGCCCATAGGCGAATATAGTACCGTTGAAGCCGTCGAGTACCGAGGACACCAGTGGCCTGACCGTCTCCTCGTACAGCTCCTGCTGGGTGGAGTTCCAGTCGTACACCGCGTCGAAGGTGAATACCTTGACTGTCTCGCTGGACGGATCATCGCGCGGATGCCGCACCTCGACGACACCTCTGGACGGGATCACGTCGACGACACGGCTGTAACTGCGCGCGATTTCCCGCTCATCCATCGGCCGGCATCGTACAACCACCTTTACGCATTGCGTCGCCACCGCTTCGGTGTTAGGGCTCGATCTCATCACGCCTTTCTTCTTCCAGGTCCTCTGCTGGTTGTCAGATTTCTCCATACCGGCGGTGAAGAATATTGCGGCTCTCGTCTATAATGACCACGGATTTAATTTTACACTTTATTCTCCAGATGCAAGTTGCTTATTTTAACGGATTTTTATACTAGAATTTTTTTAATTTAAATTTTATTTAATAAATTCGTCTTTTCTTCTGTATATATATAGATGGAAGGTATATTACTTGCCTTGAGATCTCGATTTTGATCATTTTGAAATGTCTTATATACAAATAATATTTTAAGAACAACTACAAACATATAATATTTTAATAACAGCGTTTTTTATTGTATAAAGCTCATAATAATAATCATTAATTATATATCTCTTAAAACTCAAATTGTAAGAAAGAGATAAATATTTTTCTACGTAAATCGTCTATGATTTTTTAATATAATATGAAATTCGAATATACGATTTTAAAAAACTAAACTTTTGCAAATAATATATTCATATGTTCATAAAAACTTTATATATTCTCGTTATAAAAGTGCAAATAAAAAAAGTCTACTTATAAAATATTTTATTAAATTTTTTATATATATAACAAATTTGCATATCCTATTTCCCTTACAAATCAGATTCTCGCAATTTTTTAACTTTTTAAAGCGAGATTATCTTTATATAACAAAAAAAGTGTTATTACAGTCTTTAATATTTTTCATGATTTTTTAGATTTTTATATTGTATAATGTAAATGTTTATCTCCCGACAATCAGTTTTTTTTAACGAATTTAATCTCTGTTTACACAAAATCGAAAAAAAAATTCGTGTTGAAAACAAAATAAAAAATTTGATATTTTCTATGAATGATAGCATTTCTGTCTCTAAACGCGATAGAGATCAAAGGGAGAAAAAAAGAAATGAAAAGCGTATCACTGAAACTACAAGCAATAAACAATTACGGAATTGAAAAACTTTTACATATATATTGTCAATAGAGATGCAGTTGAATAATATTATTTTAATTTTCAATCGAACCATTACAATTTTGTTATATTATTTTTGTGAAGCTTTGCGTTGCTATGCTCACACGACTCGAATCAATAAAATTTGCCACGCGAAAATACATTATATGAAACTCTCCTATACAATATTAATCGTATATATTGTATGATAAAATACCACAAGAATACTTTTTTTAATCTTTCTTTCCTCTTTAAAGAAAAAAAAAAAAAAA